AAAAAAGCTTGCTTTTTGTTTTCTTTTAAGTTTTTATAATTGTTAGAAGTCTTAATAAGTATTTCAGAAAATAGTGAGCACCTATAGTAATTTTATCACAAATAATTTTATTAAATATCCTTCTGAAGAAGCTAAAATATATTTTTAATTGTTTTTTAGGAAGTGCAACATACATATAAAACAAGTACATAAAACTTAAATAAGCGTGTGTAATATGCATAAGTATGCATAAATAACAAATGGAATTAAATTCGTAATCACCCTAGTCCAGGACAAGTGATAAAACATTACTGCCACTTCAGAATCTCACCTCTAACAACTGTGCTTTCTCAGTCAGATGGGCTAGTATGAATAATTCTGTTATGAACGTTTATAGCAGAAACATTCACACATCTGGAGGATGATACTTGTAAGTAGGACTGCAGCCTTTATGACATATATGTCTTCAGATTTCCTAGATATAGCCAGACTTTTCTTCCCTTTTTTTAAGAATTCTTTTTATTTAATTTTACTTATTATTTTAATTTGACCAGAGAGAGAGAAGGTAAGCTGCCAGGTCTAGAACTTGAACTGCAATTGGCCATGTGGGAGTCCATTGCCCTTAATTGCCATGCCACCTGCTGGTCCCAAGACTGTTTTTTTCAGTTTGTACTGAACAATCTCAATTTATACTTACGCCAGTAGTACCTAACAGTATATTATAGTGCATAACAGTTCTGATTAATATTGTCCACCTTTTAAGCATTTTTTTTCTTTTGGTTGTAAAGAAAAACTGCTAGTGAGTTGAGCACCTTTTCATGTGATTACCGACCTTTTGATTTTCTGAGAAGTATCTGTTTACATCTGATGCTCAGTTTTTTTTTTTGTTTTTTTTTGTTTGTTTTTGTTTTTCTGAATTGTGTCTTTCTCTTATTTATCTGTAGGCAGTCTATATATATTTTGGGTTTGAGCTGTTTGAAGGTTTCTAGATTTTAAGACAGAGTCTTTCTGCGTCGTGGTCATCCTGCCTCAGCCTCCTGAAGATGCGAGGTGCAGTGCTGGGCCTGCCTTCAGGTTGAAGTGGGCATCAAACCCAGGCCTCCCGTGTGGTCCCAGCCTGCAGAATACAACGTTTGACTGTGTGTGCCTCCATGACTGCATCCTGTTTATAGATTTTATGTAATGGAAAAGTTCTCGTTTGTTTGTTTGTTTGTTTTTCCACAAGTGAGACAGACAGCACTTCCAGTAGGATCCATCCCCAGCCTCAGCCAGCCCAGATCATGACACGTGTGCCCCGCCGTTCTCTGGGAAGTCCCGGGGTATAGAACTTACCCTATAGATTAGCCTAGCAAAACATCACATTTGACTACTGCACCACCATCCAGCCTCATTAGTCTTGTCTTATTTTCACTTGTCTTTTCACTCTTTAATATCTTTTGGTGAACTAAAGTTCTCAGTTTTCATGTAGCAACATTCTTATTCATTGTTGTTGTTATCAGTGAGTTAAGAAATATTTACCCTTCCAGATGTTATAGAGGCTATATTCTTTTAAAAATGGTTTATAAGCGTGCTTTTTTCATTTAGGTCTGTAATCCACTGGGTATTGATTTTTGTGTATAGAATGAAATAGTGGTCTAGTTTTGTTCCTTTTTGGTTGTGTTCTGTTTAGATGATGACTCAGTTATCGTCCTGGTCCCACGTGTTGTGGACTGTTCTCTCCTTTCAGTTGGAGTGTCATTTTGGTCAAGAATCAAGCCTCAGCAGATAAGGCCGGTCTAAACTTTATACCAAACCCCACTAAGATAGTAGAACAGAACATCACAAATTGCTCATTCATAAACATACATGTACGACTCTTCATCAAAATATTAGAAAACGAGTGTGCAATTTATTGGAACATAAAGCTTATCTCAGATGTAAAGTTGGGGGCCCAGCAGTGGCATGGTGGTTGAGGCACTGAACTTCTACATGGCCGACCATGGTTTGAGTCCTGAACTTGGTGGCTTGCTTTCTCACTTTCTCACTGTCTCTCATGAGCACGCGTGCCCTAATAGCAAAATTTAAAAAAAAAATCATAATAAAAATTAAAATTAAGTAATTATTTTTTAAATAAGCAATATGAAATAATTGCTCAGAAAAATCTATTTAGATCATCTCAGTAGAGAAAAAAATGGGTAAAATCCAATATTCATTCAATATATCTATGATTTATAATTCTTAGCAAAGGAGAACTAGGAAATAATGTCTTAACATGACATAGAGTATCTGCAGAGACAAAACCTGCAGCCGCTATCTGATGAAGCATTGAGCACCTCCTCTTAAGCTGAGGGGCAGCACCGGTGTACCCGCCATCGCTTCCTGTCTGCGTCACTGTGATGGAGATCCTAGCCAGTGTAGCAAGGGTAAGGACTGGGAACGAAGACACCAAAATGCGCTCATTCAAAATATGCTTATGGACATAGACATTAGAAGGGAGCTATACATTATTAATAAAGATACCAAGGTGCTCAATACAAAGTTAATGTGCAAATCAATTGTATTTCTATACATAATGTGAAGGACTTAGATATTGAAAAGTAAAATACGTCAAAGTTTTTTATTGATGTTTTTAACCTTCCCCAAGACAATGTGAAAATATTGTCATTTTAAATGGAAAAGCCACCCCAGGGATGAATGTTCCCCAAGTAAACATCCTCCATGAATCCCAGATCTGCTGTTTCCATCTCTTTCTCCTCAGTGTACCTTCTGACCTTGAGCAATATTTCCCTGCCATATAGTTATCAGATATCTTTCATCTTACTGTTCTGTGCAATCATTTATGCAAAGAGGGATCTACTGAAACCATAATGGCCACCGGTATCTGAAGTGCCCTCCTCAGAGCTGGTGGATAATTCCTTTGTAGAAGCCCCAGCTGAGTTCTCCTCTTTTCTTTCACTTTTTGAAAACCATTGAGCCCCTCTTGATGACTCACTGTTTGATACCCTATCTTTTCTTTCTTCTCACTGACTCCTCTTTTCTTTCGTGTGTCAGAAACATCACACGTGCATCTTACCGTGCATGGCAGTAAACCAATCAATCAGACCTGCCTCCAGAATATTCTCTTAGATGCTCAGTAGCAAGCTTACATGAAGTGCTGTGGAGTGGAGAGTCACTAGTCTCCAATCTGTCATCTTTGGCTCAGTATCGTTAACTGTATTGTTATTATAAAACTCGCACTCAGCATGCCTACTGCTTCAGAACTACTATTTTGTTTCTAGGTAGGTAGTGAGGACAATTGGGTAATAACCCCACTTGGGGTAGGAAAACCGAAGCTCTGATTTTACCCATTGTCACAGAGACATATCATATCACTTGGAAGAATCTGTTGATAGTCTTTTGGGGATTGATCATCAACCCGAATAAATTCTTCCCACTCAGTAGTACATAAAATAACGGTGCCAGATGGTGCAGGGGTAAAACACAATGCTTTGTGAGGCTGATGCACATAGAAGGTTCCAGGTTTGCATGTGGAAGCCTTCCTGAGTACGCCAGATATGCCAGGGGGTGGATCCCTCCCTCAAGACTGTTGGGGTTGCTCCCTCTGTCTCCCTTACTCAAAGAAGAAATAAACTTGAGGAAAAAAAGATAAGTGATGTATCCCCTTATTGTTAAATTCGAGAATTCTGGGGTGGATCACAGCATCAAGATTGTGTTGGGTGTTCTCTCTCTCTCTTTCTCACTCAAAGAAGAGATAGATATATCTGAAAGGAGAAAATAAGTGATGTGTCTACTAGTTGTTAATTCTGACAGTTTATCCCAGTAACGATTTACTAGGCTTTTCTGGTATTTCTCTGTGAAATAAGGTCATGTCGCTTGTTTTTGTTTTTTATGCAACTTTCCAGATATCCATAAAAGCATAAGAAAGCCTTTCAGTTTTTCCACTCTTCTTAAAGCTTTTTCTCCTGCCAGATAGTTGACCAGATTGAAAATTTGTTAATTAAATTAATTACAAATTTAACCAGACAGAGAGAGACATAGAGACAGAAAGTGAGAAATCACCCCCCAGAGGGGATGGCCATGCTGCAATCCCTTCTCCTCCATTCTCCTCTCAGGATCTTGGGCACACACGCACATGCGCCCGGCATGAGTTTTAAGCCACCGGGTCTGGGATGCGAACCGCGGTCAACTATGTGGGAGTCCAGCGACATAGCCATTACGCTAACTGCTGGTTCCCGCTTTTAGCTTTCTTAAAATATCTTTTAAACTGTGTTCTTTGTTTCAAATTGCAAAAAAAAGGGGAGATTGAAAATGTGTGCTTATCTGATAACCAAGTTTATCAAAATATCTGATGAACGCCGTGGGGCAAAGTTAAATATATTGTGATTTTGATAGAATTTTAAGTTTTCTGTAATACAGTGTTTTGTTATTCATGACAATGCCGTTACCATTATATAGAGCTTGGGATGTTTATATAGCTTTCATAATTATTTTCTCATAATAATAACATGTGAAATAAATAGAGCATGTATTATTTATTTTAATTCATTAGCACAGAGGCTTAGTGCTATTATTTAAAAAAAGGTGACTGTCATGTAATTGACAGATGTCAGAGGAGCTGGAGTTTAAAGTAAGGGCTTCTGGCTTCTACTGTTCTTGACACTGTGGCACACTTTGTCCTTAACTTATACTTTTGTATACCTGTGTATCTGGACTTTCTCCACTGTTCCCCCCTGTTTGTTTGTTTGTTTGTTTTTTTACAAAGGCAGATTAATTTCATAGACATGTTGCTTGATAAAATTCAGATTGTTTTAGGCTGAGGTTTTTAAGTATTGGCTTAGACTAGTGCCATATTGATCAGAAACGCTTCTTGGGCATTGATGGAATGACCAAAAAAGAATTATAATGCCCAGGAAATACATAAATTTTGAGGCTACTTTTTTGTTTCACAAAGCAGTATGAGTACTTAGCAGAAAATTACATAACTTGACTAGCTTCCAGAATGTATTTAACATACTAATGTAATTCATTATGATAATTTGCAGACTGAATAAACTTGAAGATACTATTACACTAATTAAAGGAAAGATTGAAGAAGTCCCTCTTCCTGTAGAAAAAGTGGATGTCATTATATCTGAGTGGATGGTAAGTGTTTTTAGAAAAACTGTTTCATTGGTAAAATTATTTTCAAAATTAATGAGTAAAGGAGCAGTTTACTTATGCATTTACTTATAATTTGGTAAATGGCAGAGTGCTGGTATTTAAAAAAAATTTGGAGAGGTTTTTGCTATAGGGCACATGCCCTCACCTGAAAGAGAGACAGAGAGAAAGAAAGCAAGAAATCACCTCCCCGGGGGCGGGGGGATGGCGATGCCACAATCCCTTCTCCTCCATTCTCTTCTCAGGATCTTGGTCACGCATGCACACGCACCTGGCATGAGTTTAAGCCGCCGGATCTGGGAATTCAAACACGGTCTACTACGTGGTAGTCCAGCAACATAGCCATTAAGCCAACTGCTGTTCCCAAGTGGTGGTATTATTTTTAAAATACCTAAAATCTCAGGCCAGTATGTGGCATGTTAGTTAATATGGCTGGATCTCACATGTCTGACTGTGTACTTTGGGTCCTGGATCAGATAGCTTGGAAAAACATGCTAGACACACGTGCATGCGTGCCCCAAATCCCAGGAGAAGAATGGAGAAGGGATAGCACAGGGTTCTTTCTCATGTGTGGGGCACTTTCTCATTTCCTCGCTCCCCATCTACAGTAAATGCATGTGCCCTGTACCAAACTTTAAAAATAAAAAACAACTAGTCTTTTCATGGTAGTTTATTCTGAAATGGTACTTATATATTTGCTATTCATACTCTTTAAAAAAGAACAAATTATCTTTTTTACCTTTAATATTATAGTAAAATACTGTTATTTTCCTACTTTCTGTATTTGTAGAAACCTACATGTCTTTAAGCCTCTAAGGACCTATTAGGATTATTTCATCAAAATTAATATAATGTTGCCACTATCGTTATCATACCGTAGGTCCCATCTTTCTGATCGTTAGACCGTGTAATCAGTGCCCTTTAGCACACTAAATAGAATGTATCGCTGTTATTAGAATAAGAAAATTGAGGTATGTTGCATAGCTTTACATTTACATGAAATCTGGAGTCAATACTTACTTTAAAAAGTAAAATTAATGGTATTTGAAAATTGATTCGATTTAACTAATGTACTGTTTGGATGAAAATATGCTCTATAGTATTTCTTTTTGAAAAAGAATCATTTATTTATTTAATTCATTTGTTATTATTAATTTGACCAGAGAGAGACAGAGACAGAGAGAAAGCGAAACTGAGAAAGAAGCTGTCAGGTCCAACCATGGTTGGCCATGTGGGAATCCAGTGCCTTTAGCCACCATGCCACCTGCCAGTCCCCGCTCTATAGTATTTCTGATAGATAAAAATTCCTTAATTATTTGGGAAGTTTAAGTTTTATTTATTTTGTTTAAAAAACTCTGTTAGATACATTTTCATTCAATGAATTTATCAAAAACTTTGAAAACAGTGTTTTGCTTTACAGTTTTCTTCTGTCAACATAGTAACAATTGAGCAAAATAGTAGAAATTTTAGAGAGCTTTTGAAGTGTTCAGATTTAATGTTAATGCCTTCCAGTCTAGAGTCAATGGCAATCACTTGTTGATGCATTGATTTTTTTTTTTAATGATTCAATTGGCTTTTTTTTTTTTTGGCCATAGAGCTGAAGTACTCGCTGGAGGGGGTGCAGAGAGAGAGAGAGAGAGAGAGAGAGAGAGAGGAAGAAGAGAAAGAGGAGAGGGAAAGTGAAATATAACTCCTTAAGGGGCGTGGCCACACCACAATCCCCTCTTCTTCATTCTCCTCTTGGAAATTTGGCATACATGCATATGTGCCAGCATGCTTTTCAAGCACTGGGTCCAGGACTTGAACTGCAGTCAGCCATGTGAAATCTAGCACCTTAATCACCATCCCACCTACTGGCCCCCTGGTTGGCTTTTAGCAATTCTCAATCACAATCATTCTTATGCCAATTAATTTTTATCAGTACTCTGATTTTCCTTATGAATTGAATGAAAAGGTATGAATTTAGTTACTGACAATTTGAAAAGCTAGTGGTTCTTTAAAGACTATTTTTTTTTTTTTTTGGAGAGGTTTTTGCTATAGGGCGCATGTGCTCGCCAGACAGACAGAGAGAGACAGAGAGACAGAAAGCGAGAAATCACCCCCCAGAGGGGATGGTCACACCGCAATCCCTTCTCCTCCATTCTCCTCTCGGGATCTTGGGCACGCACGCACACGCGCCCGGCGTGAGTTTTAAGCCACCGGGTCCGGGACGTGAACCGCGGTCGACTATGTGGGAGTCCAGCAACATAGCCATTACGCTAACTGTGGTTCCCCTTTAAAGACTATTAAAAGATACTTTCAAGAAACATATTTGAGATATATGAGACATTTATTTGGCAAAAATTTTAAATAGATTATGTTAAACTTTGGCCTACATGATATTTATTTCTCTAGAGACTATTTTTTTGAAAAATACACTTTTTTATAGCGTTTTTTTCCTCTAAGTCACGTACACTCGCAAGATAGACAGAGACAGACAAAGTGATAAATTACCCCTCCAGGGAATATGGATTTGCTGTAATCCCTTCTCCTCCATTCTCCTCGCAGGATTTTGGACATGCCTGGAGTGTGTTTTAAGCCTTCAGGTCTGGGACTTGAACCATGGTCAGCTACCTGGGAGTCCCGACATAACCATTGTGTCATCTGCTGGTCCTAAAAAATACTTTTTTTTAATTTAAAATAATCTTTTAAATTACTCAAATTAGTCATTGCAGGCCAACAAGACAGTTGACCAGATGTCTCTGTTACCTCACTCGAACATTGTTGCTTGTATGATTATAGTAAGTAATCGGGTAGTTCCTGCCTTGACTACAGAATTGTACTTCTGGATGTGTGGTTCAAGGCTTCTCGTGTTAAATCCCGAGAGGTGATACATAAATGTTACGCAGTTAAACTAGAGAGCCCCCGGTGGTATACCTGAGCTGAAGAATCAGCTGGAGTGACTGCGAGGCTGTCCTGTGGCCGAACTGTGCGGAAGTGCGCTGGGCGTCCGTGCCCCACATCCACTGCCTCCCTCTGCTTTCGGCTCTACCGAAGGAGGGCTGGCTCCGCAGGGGCCTTGCCCAGGCTCCAGCCACAGCTGAATCCCACGGGGCTTGGGGAGCCCAGTGGGAAACACTTAGGGAGACTTTAGGAAGGGAGAAACCAGGGCATTTCCTTCCTCTCACTTTACACGTAGTCGTTCCTGGCGAAAGTCACTTCTCTCGTGGCTCTAGTTTGGGTCCTGTGTGTGAGACCCCAACCCTGGGCTCTAGCAGCAGTTCCCTTCCGTCCGTCCCTCAGGCCAAATTGGTAATTACTTTTGGACATTACCGATGTCTGTTGTCTCATTCACCTCCTAGTGATCTCTCCTATCTTTTATTCTCTGCGTAACTCACTTCCTGCATTAATTTCCCACTATTTAAAATAACCTGTAGTTTCTCTGTATTGAAAAAAGGAGCATCTTTCCCTTTAGGGGGTCGGTCAGGGATGATCTATGCCCTTCTCTGGCTCTGTAACTCAGTACCGAGAAATCGGAGTCTGAGCTGAGAGTAGCCTGCTGTTTGGACGCCGGGGTGCTTAGGAAGCTCCTGACTAAGGGAAAGAAATCAGAGTGTCCAGGACAGGAGGTGTGACTGAGGACTCCCCTCCGTCCCCCGCACAGGTGTAACATAAGCATTTGCGTCATGGTGCTGCCTGCCTTTGCTTGTAAGCTTTACAGGGAATTGAAGTCTGGCGACTGTATTAAATATGGTAGAGGTGGGAGCCTTACGCACTGGAATTTATGGCAATTAGTATTCTGAGGCAACTGACTCCGGATGACTGTCATTCTTTAATGAAGTTTATATTTATATTTAAGGCTTTGAGAAGACCCAAATATTTTGAGTCATTTTTGTGAATTTCAAATATCATTTATGGAATCTTCTAAATATTTTACGTCTCCTCCTGACTTTGGTACTTACATTAGGATCTCTGACCTGAGAAGGTAGAGAAGACTAATTACATCATTACGTAAGTGGCAGGTATGCTTTCTAAAATGTGTCCAGCATTTTCCAGATACTCCTAGCTTTGGCTGGAATAGTGCGCAGATGGAAAATGAGTATTTTAAATGTGTAACATTTTCATGAGCATTTAAATTAAACTATATTGCATAGAATCCTCTGTCTCTGAAAGACTTTTTTTTTTCTTTACATACAGCATAGTAAAGATGCACAAATCTAGAAAAAGCCATCTTTACTTTTTTCTCTGTTTAAAAGTATTTTCAACAAAGACAAAAAAAGGAGTATTCCCTCCAGAACTGAGCACAGATGTTTAATGGACTTGCCACCCAGTACAGCAGTGTAGACGTCATATACTGCAGAGATACACATCTGTTTTCTCCAGCTACGGTCCACTAACTGTTCTGTGGCTTAACCTGGACATGTTTTTTGTCTGTAGCTGTTGATGAATTTTGTCTTTGTTTTGAAAGGTTTTTCTAGATAAGAATATAATTTTTTTTTCTTTCTTTTTTTTTATTATTATCATAATCTTCTTTATATTACATTGGATTACATATAACTTTACATTGACTTCCATTGCTTTTTCAAAAGGGAGTGCCATGCATGTCAGTCAATACAGAGGCATCGATCTCCCCGCTTTATCATTCAAAGTCTTTTCCATGCATTTCCCAATAATTATTATTATTATAATTTTTTAAAACAGTCAATCACTATTTCTCATTTTGCTTGTTAAAAGACTTCACCCATCATGAAATACTTCCCAGACCAGTCCAGTTGAGAATACTATACACGTCATCTTCAACAGATAATAAACCATATCTGTTTCTCACTAACATCCCCTCTATTGTTCACTTGCTATCTTTCTCTATCCTCTTCTCTTTTTTATTTTTTTTTATAGTTTATTTTTTATTATAATTTTTTTTTTCCCATCGCAACACACAAATGAATTTTCCATCCAATATATACTGTGCGTTGGCTCAATCAAGCACGTCAACATATATGTTCTCA